ACAAATTTCCAATTCATACAAAGCTGAATGGATTCTGCAACTACAAAAGAAAAGTAAGCCATGCTTCTGAAAAAAAAATCTCGCAAAGCAAACAGATCCCCGGAATGTCATCTGAAGCCCATTCAAGAAGTCCTCGCCGAATAGATTAGATCCGAAACAGATCAATCACAAAGACGGCTAAGAACAGTGTGGATGCAGCGAGCATGCATTCGCTCATCTCGCATTAGCCCTACAAACGCCAACCACCGCTGTTGCTGCCGGTTTCGTCGCGGTTGTCTTCTAATTCATATTTTTCTGGAGGTGAATAATAGGCCTTCAGTATTTGGGCTCGTTGCAGAGCCGGCACCGGAATGCGTTCTGCATCCACTGCCACAGGTTCGCAGAATGGTAAAATTAAGCTATCCGTAAGCTCGCCAACAATGAACTGCTGCCCACTGCTGGCAGCGTACAGTGAAGGGCTGCTAGAATCTGAAATGACGCTTTTTTGCCTGCTAATTCAAGAAGCTCCGTACCGCGGCGTCCCAGTCCACTGCTCGCAACATAGCAAAAATGGCCGACTCGCCCAGTGCATCATCCGTCAGAAATTGTGTTAATTTTCTTCTCTCCCTTCCATTTCACTGTTACTCAAGTGAGCAAAAAATGGGAAGAAATTTCATTCCTGTATGTTTGTTGTGTTTTTGAGAACCCCCTGCAGTAGTGGTCAAAGCAGCGGGAGAAAACTTCAGGTGCGCAGCTGGAAAACCATGCTATGAATTACAATTGACATGTTAAAATGTTAATTTGAAAGCCGAAATAAATTATTAGTCACTTTCTTCGTGTTATAAAAAAATGTGCTTATGAGCTCAGAGTTAGCAGAAAGAAAGAAATTTCCGGTTAAGGCGCATCCATATAACGTGAATCGCAACGCGTTGTAGTTATTGAAAAACGCGGCAGAGATCACTTGATGAAAATGCAGTGAGTGCAAAGGGATTTTCGAGCGAGAAAAATCGTATTTCGATTCAACAAGGTCAGATTTCATTGAATACTCGATGGAGAATAGCCGTGAACTGAACTGAACCAGACAGTCTCCTGGAGTTATCCGAATTATAAATCCGCCAAGCTGTTCAGTTCATTAACATAAAATTAAAAACTTGTTTTCAGTTAGAACAAGTACAAACAGTCAGCATGGAGCAAACTGTACATTGGCGATTTACCATGCGCATATTGCGGCGGCGTGTGAATGTACGGTGGTGGCGGAAGAATAGTGGTTGTTGCTTCATCCTTTTCCTCTTTCCCTACAAAGTTATAGTAAAAAGTTAAAAAATAAGCCTTCTTCCAGGACAACACTCTTTCACGGCACATTACAAAGAAACATGCACTGAACAAATACACAGGAATTCAGATATCATTGAAGAATCAGTAGAGGAAAGAAATTTTAAAATGCGTTTAATCTCAGAATGTTCCCGAACTTTTTCTTCTCTTCAAAAAGGAACAGTGCTCGCTCTGCAGGGGAGGCGAAGGCACTCGGGAAGTAGCCACAGCAGTAGAACTGCCAGAAGTAACAACCCGCTAGTGAGGCTATCAATGGCTCTCTCTTTCGAAGGTTACTTAGGAATAGGCTGATAGTAGGTGTGATTCCCAAGTACACGTAAGTACCAATTTACCATCAAAACAAATGAACAAATCATACAAGAACTGTAAATCTTTAATTCTTGACCTTAAATCTACGAGTTTTTCCATAAAAATTCATAAGCAAAAATGGGTAAACGAACCATATTCACGCTGCGGCTGTTCCTCTTCCTCGAAACCGCTGCCTTCCTAAAGCGCATACACTGTATTTCCCATAGCAGAATTACAACAAAAAATTTAAAATTCTAGGAACCCGTGTAATTAGTGCAAATGACTGGGGCTCAGAGCTGCAAAAAAGTTTCACTGAATTTCGCATTCGAAAACGATGCATTTGTCCGCATCACCATCTCCAGTCACCCGCTTACTGGACTATCGATGCTCTGCTCTTCCGGGAAATGCTTAACAAGCGTTCTCAGATGCACAACATCCTTGTCCATGTCAGTAGCAATCTTCAACTTCCAAACATTTTAGTTCCGGTTTATTTTTAAAA